ACAGATAGGCACCAATGGATGACCATTGATCATGATAGCCAGGCTTAGCTAAGTGCATCCCCCTTTGGGAGATGTCCTAGGAAACCTTATCAAAGGAACCTTAAATCAGCCTGCATGAATACTTTCTCTGTGGCTGCACCACAGAGATGAACAGAGAAATGGGGCCTCATTTGGGAAAGCTCAGAACACTTAATTCTTTCTTATTAATAAACTGTCTACACTGTATCATCTGCCATGATCAAGATTCAAAGCACTGACCTTGGGCTTGAAGCTGGGAAGAGAAATTCTTCAAGTTGGATGACATCTGAGACACTAAAAAACAAACAAACAGGGCCTCCATGTTCTTTAGTGCACAATGCAAGGCAAAAAGCACTATGTCCTTTGTTTGCCTAATCTTGTTTAAAGAAGAAAGCTGACTTTGTCATTTTAGATAAAATGTGTTTTTCTTGAATTTGACTTGACAATTTCTTGCAATAAAAATGTAATGTATTATTGTAGCAAATTCTGCAGTGAAGTAAGATTTGACAACGTATCTTGGAAGTGCAGGTAAATTAGTACATTTCCAGAGGCTATGATTTTGCTCTTCATCCATTTTCTAAATGCAAGAGCAGATGTCGAGGATGAAACGCTCCTGTACAACTTAATGTGTTATAATGTACTGTCGACAATATATCAAACCACTGACCTTGAGCTTGGAACTGGGAAGATAAACTGTTCAGTGTGGAGGATAGCTGAGATTCTAAGAAAAACAAGACATACAGGTCAGTAAATTCATTTGTATCTTTCTCATTACAGGGTCCATGTTTTGTAGACTACATTAATCTGCAACAAAATAATAAAAGAGTCAGTACTTGTATTGTCAGACAAATGTATGTAAATAATAAAGGTCACTGATTGATGTTTTAACCGCATTGTACAAATTTCAGAAAAAGACAGAAATAGATGCTTTTATCTGCCTGGATGAATACAGCTAAAAGAGTGAATGCTTTTTCACCCATCCAGTCCAGCAACCTTGAAGCAGAACACTGACCATGTGTTAGGAAACGGGAATCCCAATTTGTCACTGCAGAATCTGAAAGGATGCAAAGAGAACCAGTTGGTGATGTTAGCAGCTTTGCCACAATGGTTATATTCTAAAATTACCATGGTATTTTTTAATTTATTCTTTGGGTACCTCATGTAATGTGCCAATACTAGGTAGATCAGTTGAACTCATTTACAGTAACCATGTACCCTATAGAGGTGGCACCAATGAGAATGGATCATTATTGATTAATTCATCCAGACTCTGTCTCACAGCCTGTATAAGCAAATTATTCATATAGTCCAATAAGACATACTTTAAAAAACATACACAAGAGAATTTAACACTCAGAGGTCCAATACAAAACACAAAGTACAGTAGTGTCAGAGGGCGCTCCTTCTCTGTCCTGTCCCTAGTTTCCGGTCTGCTGTCCTTCCTGTCCCTCTCTTCCTTGGTCTATATATTTCCGGGTCTTGCACTCTGTCCTCGCTCAGCATTGACGTTCGGATGTCCTGAGACCCGCCTAGCACCAGGGCTCCCCACGTCCGCTCCCTGAGGGCATAGGTTTCTATACGGCATTCTAGAACTCTTTGCACTAATGAACCCGGGCCTTTTTCCCGTCTCGCCGATACGCATATGGGTCTTTTTCCGCTCTCCTGCTCCCCACGGTTAGTCCTTTTGGACGTCCGTGACAAGTAGATAACACTAAAATAGCACAGAGATTAGGTTGTTTGCATGCATGTGTCTTAGATTAACTCCAAACCTTTACCTTTCAATATCATTTTAAATGAGTTTTCAACTCAACCAAGAAACCCAAACAAAAAGAAAGTTATAAATGCAGACATTCTACATCATACAAAAACCAAAATAAGGAATAGGCATTATCGGGGCAATTAGGGTCTTTTTAAAATCTCCAATGATGGCTTTCTGTAGTGTTTACATATCAGTCATTAAGTCTATGCTAAATGCCTCTGGTGAAATTAAAGCTACTGTCAAGAGACTGGTTTGAAATGTGCACTACTTAGCCCAGGCAAATTCAGCCTGTAAATTCTAGATAATACATTAATTTGGTCTTTGCCTGAAAACCTTGTGTCAGTACTACAAGTTCCCAAGAACAACCCAACCCCCCCTACACACACACACATACTGTATACACAGCACCAACCATTGCTCATCAACCCAGCTTGTTTCCTTCTCAGGCTTTCGATTTCTGCAGAACCTTTGAAAATAAAAAAGACACTAGTCAAAGAGGAAAACTGTTTCGTTTCTTTGGTACAGTACCTCGAACGTGCCACATATGATGATTCACAAACTGAGCACAAGTAAAATGAAAGTCATAAGGAGAGCTGGGGGAGGACTGTGGAATGAGAGGCACTGAGAGCTCTTGAAGAAGAGGAAGTTGATGTGATACTGTTTGGATAGTTCCTCCTTTGCTTATCCCTCTTCAAAGAAAGGCCAGGGCATTATCATTTTGGGTACACTGAACTTGCCTCTGAGTTTCAATTTCTTGGGTACTGTATCACTCCTTAAGCAGGAATGTGCTTGTGGTTTTTCCATGACTAATGACAGATGCAATGTGTAGAATGAAAATACTGGGAGAAAACAGGGACCCTTATTATACAGTACAATAAATAAATTATATTGTGATCCTTATTTTTTTTGGGAATCCTTATTGTTTATCATTCCATTAAAACAGCAAGTGTCTCACTTCAGGAGTGGATGCTGTTCTCTCCTGCATGTGTTTTGTGGTTTAATTGTTGAAAGCTTTAAATCCAATGCAAGAATATTACTAAACAGGGTCCATTGGAAGAGAATAGCATTGTTTGCTGCCATATTACACATTTTGTTACAAATGGTAAAGATACCACCACAAATAAAAAAGGAACCATACTAATCCTTCTAATGTCTGTTTCCACATGTTTCATATATTTTATATTTACAATATTGGGTGTGGTTTTGTTAAATATTTAGCTGTGGGTTAAAAAACAAATGTCAGTTTCAGAAAACATTTACAAATGCATCATCTCTCATCTAAGAATAATCATTATGCTCTATAAGGATTCAAAGGCAGACATGAATTGCTCTGAACTTACTGTTCTCCTTCAGGGTGACTTGACTCATTTGGAGGTGCTGAATCTCTTCAGTCAGGGCAGAGTCTGAAAGAGAGAAACAAGTCTGGATCAAAAGGTTAAGAGGAGTTATACTTTCTGATATGCTCTGACAGCTTCAGTTCAATGGACTGTCACAAGCTCAGGAGAAGGTCTCCATCTCCTGTAATGGATTAATTTAAATGCTTTCCTATCAGAATGGCCCTTGGCTATTAAAATTTGAAATAAAGTGGTTTCTTTGTGTTTTTGCGTGTACAGGCGCAGCAAAACATCAATTTTTTTTCAACACAGGGTTGCACAGGTGCCAGAGCCTATCCTGGGAAGAAATGGGTGCAAGGATATACCCTGTACGGGACGGCAATACATCACAGGGTAAAAAACACAGACACGCAGACATTCACACTAGGGGACAATTTTCCCAGAAGTCAATTAACCTACCAGCATGTCTTTGGACTGTGTAGTGACAAGGCCTATTATTTCACTTAGAATTAAGTGCTGTTAAAGATTTCTGAGCCTTGACTAAGCAGCCTGTTTCCTCTCCCTAAATGTGGAGGAACATGGCAAAAGAGGCCCCTCCAATAAGAGACATTGTAAAACTGTACCAATGCTCTACAATTAATTATATACAGTATACAGAGCAGATGGGATACAACCGCCATTACCCAAAGGAAGTTCCACCAGTAAGATATCAGTAGGGTGGGTACCAGAACCAAATTCATTTTATGATTGTTAAAGTAAATTAAAAAAAACAACCTCCCATAATTGTGAGATGAAATGGAGCACCCAGTGTAAACCCATGAAAACACAGAGAAGACATAGAAACTCCACAAAGCCAGCACCCCAGGAATTAAACCCAGAGCTCAAGTGCAATGCTAATCACGTCACTGTGCCACCCCACATTAGTAAACAGGTATCGCAAATCTGTAATATATATTTTTTTAAAACAATGACATTTTTGCAGCATCACATACTCAAACCTGGAACTGAATAGAATTGAAATATGCATTTTTTTATTTTGCAAAATAAGAACACAAGTATTTGAAATGTAATATGGCTCATTCAATCATCCATCTGTCACTTTTTGCACTTACATTTTATGAAGGCCAGTATGATGAAGACTACCCAGCCTACAGTGACCATCAACAGCAGGACATACAGCAGAATGATGGACTTGGTCCCAGCAACAGCAGCAGCTGGAGGAGTAAAAGGAGTAGAGGAATTAGGTTAGGTTACTTTTTCTATTTGCCACTGTTGAACATCCTGACTTTGGGGGAAGCAAAATTAATTTTCTCTTTTTTTTTTTAGGAAATTTAGAAAGTTAAAAATTACTTATAAAAGCAACAAAAAGCCTGGATTTTCAGCAAATGGCAATCCTCAGATAAGAATTCTCTTTGGATTGGGTCCTTTTAATTCTGCAGGGTCACCTGCAATTTTCATGACATGTGAAAAACTTCAACCTCATGTCCTAAACTGAAAATGCACATGACAAGTAACAGAGGACTACTGGAAACAAGGGATGTTCTCAAGTTCACAAGTGTTGTACGAAGCCAGCAAAGATTTAGCAAAAGTGCACATTTACAATTTTATTTTCCCTCTGAATGTCTGTTAAACAGCACTGTGAATAACAACAACAAAAATAATAATAATTCATTTAACTTATACGGTACAGTGCTTTTCTGGACACTCCACTCAAAGCACTCCCCTCCACCCCAACAGCACTGTGCGGCACCCATTTGGATGATGTGACAGCAGCCATAGTGCCCCTACAGTATACTGTATGCTCAACACCAGCTAACAGTTGGAAGGAGGACAGAGTGATGAAGCCAGTTCAGAGATGCGGTTTATTAAGAGGCCATGATTGGTTAATACCAATAGGAAATTTGTCCAGAATGCCTGGGATTTTTAAAGACCATAGAGAGTCAGGACCTCAGCTTTTCAGTATGTCTCATCCTAAGGATGGCACCTTTTTACAGTATATGCTCCCGGTCACTATACTGTGTTGGCAGATTATCAGGTTATATTAGCAGTCAATAGCTTAGTCATATTGGGCTGGAATTCAACTCTTCTATGCGTTTTGAGTTGTCCTGACATCTCTACTCTGCAGTTTGGCTTGTCTCCTTCAAGTGTGTGTTTGTTGTTTTTATAGTCCACATAATTCTCATTCTCAAAATATTGACACTCAGCAGAAACAAACACCTATAACTGTTAAAATAATAATCTTTAGTCACGTGTAGAAATCTCGAAAAAAATAATTGATATGGTCTGATCTGATTTTTTACTTAAGATATTTAAGACTATTAAAACAGTCCTGTCATGCATAGTTTTGAAGCTAAAAAATATCCAGCCTTGTAACAGTTCATTGGGTCATTGTTAAGATAATGCTTTTATCATCATGCTTTATCACCGAGATAAAACTTGGTAAAATGTGCTAGATATACGTCTTGCAAATTAACAAATATAAGATACTATAAGTAATAAAAGTCAAGCTATAGCTTTGACGCAGCACCCAATATATTTATTTTTGTAAGTTTGAGTAATTTGTATATTTTTTGTAATTGTGAGGTTTTTTTTAAGATTTCATAACATTTTAAGATACATGGGTATTCCTGACTGTACAACAGAAGAATATCTCATTGTCAAAACAAATGCAGAATAATTAACAGTCAGTAATGAGTCTAGTACATACAGAATGACTTTCCTCTACCAAAATAAGATACAGATTTAGTTACATTTAACAATCACATTAGGAACACTTTTCTTCAAGAAAAGATTCCTCCAGGATCACCTGTTGAGAAAAAATAAGATTTACCTGAAGGCAGCTTTGTTTTCCCAGGCTGCAATTGTTTCTTAGCCTCCATGTGGAGCAAATCTTTATCCCCATAGGTATCTGCCATTTTATTGGTGAGTAGAGCAGATGTGTCTCTTTAAACTGTTGGGTTTGAATGGTAGCATATGACAGCACATATGAGTGATTTTAAAGAGGAAACATGTTGCAAAGTGGTTTGATGTGTCACAAAAAAGAACAAATGAGAAGTCCTTCTACCAGCAGTTTATAGTAAGCAGGAGTTCTGCTCTAGGATCTTGTGTGATTTTCACTTAAATTTGTGTGATGCTCAACAAAATGAAGTCAACATTCTTTTTCTAAGGCTTTTGTGACAGAAGTTATTTTGTTTGTTTTCCTTGAGCATAATGCATTACTGAGACTGCAGTGAAGTAGGTTTTAATCAGTAATACATTATAATATAATACTTGAATAATGTCTCAGCTTTGTGCACCATGGATGAAAGTGATTTTTAGGCAAAATTATTATTTGTTCTGGGTTACGATTTATATAAATACATACATTTCTGTAGTTTGTGGGTTAAATAGAGACCATACATGTGCTACAACCTTTTGACAAAATCTTAATTTAGCAGTCTTCTAGTCTTTCTGGGTCATCATCAAATAATCCCGATATAGAAATTCTGGTATCTGCATTACCAGCCTGTAGACTGATATTTTCAGATTAGCAAGGCTGAACAGTACTGGAATGGAAACCCCTCAGCAAATCCAAGTTGCTGCTGTAAGTGGTGTTGGTGGATCAGTAGGTGGTGCTCTGCTCTCTGGACCACAATCTTCAATGTTTTAGCTCTGTTATTGAGCAAAATGTGCCATAGTAGGTGCAAATCATCAGAAGAGATGTTTAACTGAGGTTCACACTAATTCCACAGTTTTTGAAAGAATAACCCCAGTTTCCAAGCTAACATCCCTGTGTAGATTTGAACAACCTTGCCTTCCTAAAGTTCCCCCTTACTTTTTCACTTATTCTACTAAAATTACTTTGCTGTTAACAAGTTGGACTTAGTGGAGAAGGTGTATACAGGATTTGAAAACAGAAAAAAAGAGTTACATGGCAGGGACTTACATTTCTAATTTTATTGCTGATTTGCATTTGTAATGCCAACTGAGACTACATGGATGTTTCCATGGCAATATCACATTTTGGAAACAGCAGTAAAAACATCATTGTGGTCTAAACATTGACATAGACATTAAAACCACATCCATGTGCTGGGTTATGCCCTCTAACTTATACACATTTTATAAAATGTTGTTTTTACATACATCTTTAAAATTATATACTTAATCCTGAGAGTATTCATTGATTCTATTTTACCACCCCATCGCCACCTGTATTATTACAAGTTTACCTATAATTTTCCTTTTCTTCACTAAACGTTAAACCTCTACAGTAATTTCATGCACTCAGTACTTAAGGTATATACTGTATCCATGCCAATTTCACTTTGCATTTTCTTATTCAAATTAGAGAGGCTAATTTTTAAGTTTGACTAATTAGCATGACAGCATATCATTCTCTTTCAGGTGCTGAATCTCCTCCGCCAGTGCTGAGTCTGAAACACGGCAGCTGAGAACAGATCAGGGTTTTGGCATAATGGTTCATAAGGGAGACACACTTTAGAGTTTCATTGATTCTATTCTACCATCCCATTGTTTACAGTATTATTATACATTTACCTGTTAATATTGTATTTGTCTTTTTTTGAATACTTGACTACAGTAAAATTCCACAGTTTCAATGCATTAATACTGTAGATACAGTATGCTTCAATGCCAAATTCTATTGAAAAGCTCATATGCAAATTAAAACATGCTTATTTTTAAGGGGTATTAATTGGCATGATTAATTACCATTTTCTTGCAGGTGCTGAATCTCCTCTGTTGAGAATTCCGGCTTATAAGGGTTTATAGCCGTGACTCACTTAAGAGTTTTGATATTTTTTTAGTTGCAATTGTGTTATATGGCTCTTTACAGGATCGGAATCCATTCAGTCTGTTCCTGTAGTGCATTCCGTGTACCATAAAGTTTAAAAGCATAGCTAAGAAATCCATATACTGTAGTATCGTTGCAGGTAGTAAAAAAATAAATATGTACATTCATAGGTACAGAGCTGTAATAAAGGCTCATCTACTCTGTGCCATGTGTATGATACTGTACTTAATGGTAAAAATAAATGTCTAAAAGTGCATTTTTAATGAAAACCCAGTAAGGTTAATATTTTCACTATGCAGTACATACTTTGCAACACAATACATGAAAAATAAAAATGTGTTGCTTTGACAGATTTTTTCTTAACTTATCTTATTTGTAAAAAAAATAACAATAATGAGGACCGTCCAGATGAAGATGACTATCTGCAGGATAATATAAAGAATAATGGGGTTCATCCAACACACAGCAGAGACTGGACACCAAACAACAATGTTCTACAGCATACAGGATATTAATCTCTTTTGCTACACATAGTGCATACACATGGTTTATTTTGCTGTGAGAATAATGATTAGGGCTACTGTATTTACACAGGACCAGTAAGTCACTTGTTCAAATTCTAATTAGGGACTGTACTCTTGTTATTTTAAAGAGGCGTGCTTTTACTCAAGTTGCTTAAGCTGTTTAAATATAAGCTAAAATTGGAAATTTACATTTCTTTAGAAGTTGCTTTAGATGAGCGTTGGACATAAATTAATCAAGAACTTTCAATTATGTTCGTTTAGGACTCCACATGTTACTTCAAAATTCCAGCAAGCATATTTTCCATTCTGGATGTTTTCCTGTTCAAGGAAGCCTATAAACTTGATCGCTTTCAGACCAGGTGTCTCATGATATATGCACAACATGTCAGGTTCAGTAAAACAACTGAAAGCTTTTCTGACTTAAATGTTAGCTAGAAAAATGCAGATTCAACCATAGCAGTTAAGAAAAAAAAGGCTGAATACAACAAATTATTGCTTTCAATAGTTTCTAGATGTAATGATAAAAGAGTGTTTTAGTAAAGTAAGGCATATTTATCAGAAGCATAACTAGGCTGTAGTGGTTAATGAATTATTGCAGTTTAAACCTTGTTCTGTAACATGGTGTAATTTATCTATATCTGCTAGCAATGTAGAGGCGGTTTTGGAAATGGTTATACTGTATATGTTTATATGTATTATTCAATTCAAATCAAATCAAATCAAATCAAAGTTTATTTATCAAATGCACAACATTACAGCATGCAGCAGTAGTTCCTGGCAATGAAATGTCTGTTCCGTGAGCTCACAAAATCACAAGAATCACAGAATTAATAAAAATCACAAAAACACAAAAATCACATAATTGAGGTTATGAAAATAAGGGTACATAATAATAGATGTAATAGAAAAAGAATAAAACTCAATATGAGTAGAGCTGCTATGTGTCCATGGTGTATGCAATATATACAAGTAGTGTGGTTATGCTGAATACAGTGAAAACTGTGTCCATGTAGCCATTGCAGGTGATTTGCTAAAGGAGCTGCAGGTTGGCTATTTAGCAGTCTTTTTTCCTGGAGGTAGAAGCTGTTCCGTAGTCTGTTGGACTTGGACCGAATGCTTTGGTACCGTTTACTGGACGGTAGGAGGGAAAACAGTTTGTGACTGGGATGACTGAGGTACTTGAGAATGGACCTGGCCTACTTTAGACATCTAGCTGAGTAGATCTCCTGGATGCTTGGTAACTCACAGCTGGTGATAAGCTGCGGTGACTTCACCACCCTCTGCAATACTTTGCGATCCTGTGCGGAGCAGCTCCCATACCAGGCAGTGATGCAACCAGTCAGGATGCTCTCAATAGTGCACCTGTTGAAGTTGGCCTGGATATGTGATGGCATGCCAAACCTCTTTAGCCTACGGAGAAAGAATAGGCGCTGCTGTGCTGTTTTGACCACGGTGTTGGTGTGGTGGGTCCAGGTTAAGTCCTCTGGGATGTTAACTCCCAGGAATTTAAAACTGCTGACTCTCTCCACTGCAGTCCCCACTGATGTAGATAGTTGTGTGATCTCCTCTCTGGTGTTTTCTATAGTCCACAATCATCTCCTTAGTCTTACTGATGCTAAGAGAGAGGGTGTTCTCCTGGCACCATGCTGCCAGGGTTTCAACCTCCTCCCTGTACACAGACTCTTCACCATCTGTGATCAGGCAGATGACCGTTGTATCGTCCGCAAACTTAATGATGGAGTTTGAGTTATGCCTGGCGACACAATCATGAGTAAATAAGAAGTAGAGGACAGGGCTAAGCACACAGCCTTGGGGGGCTCCAGTGTTTAGAGTCAGGGTAGAGGATATGTTGGTGCCCACCCTCACCAACTGCGTACGTTTTGTCAAGAAGTCCAGGATCCAGTTACAGAGGGAGGTGTTCAGTCCCAGGTCCTGGAGCTTGATGACAAGCTTTGAGGGCACTATGGTATTGAATGCTGAGCTGTAATCAATAAACAGCAATTCTAACTATATCTGTCATAAGATATATACAATATATATATATACAATAGAACTCTCTGACTTATATAACATTTAAGGATTCTGGATTATGTACTGTACCTGGAATGTCTTTGGCTTTAAATCAGTTACTTCGGTAACTGGCTTTTAAAACAGCGTGTCGACCAAAGGGCTCTCTAATAATAATAATAATTTAAATATTGCACTTAAAAAAATGACAAAAAACACAATGAGAGGAGCTAGCAGAATTACACAGTTACACTGAGGGTTTGGAATACAATAGGAAAACGTGGCTGACTCAGAACCAGTTAAATAAAAGCTGTTTTAAGGAGAAGGTTTTGATTCTAGAGTTGGAAGAGTTCAGTGGAAGGGATATCCGTAGAAATATCTCTAACATTCCTTAGGAATAAAATTGATTAGCTTTGTGGCCCAGCAGGAGAAAGCCCTGTCCCCCATAGAATAAATGAATAAACTTTGGGAACAGACAGGAGACCAGAATTAGATGTACAGTAGATAGGTTGCAAGGTGGGGTGTAGGATGACTGTACCTCAGATAGGAACTGAAGTCATGCAAAGCCTTAAAGGTGAGTTGACACAAAATCTGACAGAAAGCCAATCTAAGGAAT